CACACACCTCCTCCTGCACAGAGAACTCGTGCTCCGCCGGTTTTCTAATAATGAGGCACAGTTGGCTACAGGCTTTGGAGTAAAAAAAGACTCGACTTTAAATCCAAGCTCCTTCACTGGAAAGCCGTGCGGCCTCAGAAAACCTGCAAAGCCCCCTGTGTCTCGGTTTGCTCATCTGTGGACTGGGGTGCCACTGTCTGCCTGCTCGATCCCAGAGTAAATGAAGTTATGCATGGCGGCCTAGAGTACAGCAGCCAGCATTAACTTATTATATGTCAGCCCTGTCCTCCCAAAGATCCCTACCAGTCCATTGCAACCCAGGTCCTTCCTGGAAGCCACGACAGCACCTGCTGGACGTCTGGCTGGGTTACTGATGCAGACAGTGGCCGTGCATGAAGCAAAGCCAACTGACCCATACAGGGTTCAACCCCATGATCCTGGTCTCAATAGCACAGCTCCAACCAACCGAGCTAATTACGATAGGGTCAGATCCATCTCAGCTTGCACAGTGATGCTCTCGGCAGCTCAGACAACGTTCTTACACAGTTTTGTCCTAAGATGCTATGTGACACACCACATTTGCCAACTTTACTAATGATCTCATCTTTTAGAAATCTTAATGTAATGTAGCAAACAGATGTGTCACTTAAGAGGATTTAAGGTGGAAATTCATTAGAGCAATAATGCCAATGGATCTGTGTTCTGAAACTAACAGCAGTCAATCAGCTTGGGACACAGGCCACCTTAGCACTGCTTGACTGGCAGGAGAGCCGCGGAGAGCTGGACAGACAGTCTTCACCCTCACGGAAGTTATCTGAGAGTGGGGGAGACAGTGATAACCCCCACATACTGAGACCTGACCTGAATGGCCTTTAATCCACCCAGCTCAGGCTGTGGTGTGCACAGAAGCCCCCAAGGCATCTTGGGAAAAATGCACCTTCCAGTTCAGGGGGAGAAGCGGGAGGCCTGAGAGCATTTCTATTCAGAGCTGAGGTGAGGCCCAGTCCAGACTTGGACCCCTGGGGCTCTCTTTTACAGGTGGGACAGCTCAGGCACCAAGGCAACCACAAAAACGAAGGCAGTGAGAGAGAAACACACGTGTACAGTCAAGGCTAATCCAACCAGAAGACTGAACTCCACACCGTGGACAGGCTGCCTGGAAGGAGGACATTCAAGGCGCAGAAGCAGAGTCATTAAGAGCTCAGACCTGGGGTCAAATTCCAATTCTGGAACTTCCCGCTCACAGACCAGCCGACTTCCTTCTGCTCCGGGTCTCTTCTGCTGCAAGATGTAACAGTGCCAGTCCCTGACCCACAAGGAGGTCGTGAGCCCGGAGAGATGGCGGGTGTCTAGGACACAACAGCTACTGGTACTCCCCTTTCTAGACCACTGCAGGCACCCACACATTTTCCAAATCAATTCCTGAGTCATCCTTGCCATTTTGACACATAAGTTACTCATTTTCTTCATAAAAACTACAGTTTGGTCTATCAAAATGAAACATGAATCCTTACGGCCTTAACCTGCAGCATCAATCAATATAAACAAATCATTTAAGCTTTGAAAGGTCTATGAGGCTATTAATTCTATTGCATAGTTTTTTTTCTACACTAGAAGTCCTATCATTACAATTTTTTTCTTTTAAAACACTATGCTAGAAATAGACACCTGTTTATACAGCATTCGAAAACAAAAGGCCACACACCTAGTCCAGTCAAAACATATAACCACCCAAATGAGCATCTCCCCAGTGAGAATACAGCACCTGTTTTGAACTTTTTATCAAACTAATCATTTATTGAATCATCTTCCCTGGGACTACTATAAACAGCTTCGGGGGACTGAGGGGTGGTTTCCAATCTACCAGTTTGAAAAAAGAAAAGATACAGCCTGAGTGCAATACACTGTTTTGTCTGAGACAGTGGTTTGGTTAAAGGAACAGCCAACTCACTTCTAATGGAGTCAGCAGACATGAGCTAAATAAACATGTCCTCCTGTTACGAAAAGATGCATAGATTCAAGTTTTGGCTGGGAAGGACCCGCGGGGCTATCCGGTTCAAAGGCTCCCAGCACAGGAGAATCCCTAGGGAACTTGACAAATTAGGACCCTCTGCTGGGGCCTTCCAAGGGCTGGTTACACAGGTGTGTTCACTTAGTGAAATTTCATCCAGCTGCTCACTTACGCCTTTTGCACTTTTCTATGTGTGTAAGCTACTTCACATGACAGTTTTCTCCCCAGGGATTTGAATGTGCAGGGCAGCTGAGAACACCGAGCATGCCTAAAAGTTCCTCAGTCACGCATCTCCCCTTTTTCTGCCACCCAGATACCCCACCCCCACCCAGGAATTCCTCCTCTGCCAGGCTGGGCTCAGTGGGACCCTGGCAGAAGCTTTTCCAGTGGCCAGGAAAGTGTTATCCATGGCGAGGGTCTGGGAAGACAGCTTGCCCACTCATTCACCACAAGCTTGTTCACAGCCCGCTCAGTAACTGTTTACTTCCACCTCTGACTGTGGACTCTACCAGGCCAGGAATTCTACCTCAAGGCTCTTACTCATACTTGTAACATTCATTTACTCTGGGCCAAAAAGTACAATACCTAGCGCAGGAAGGTGAGGAGGTGAATTCCCCAAGGTAATGGAACAGAAGCCTCTGGGGGTGTGGCTTCTGCCCACAACCACACAGCGGGTCCAGAGAGCAGAACAGCACGGGGGTCTCAAGTCACACAGGCCTGAATCTCAGTGCCCCACTCCTATCTGAGAAACTAGGCTAATTAATATTCTCTGCTTCAGTTTCCTCATCTGTAAAATGGGGTATGAAAGGCTCCACTACCCAGAGATGTGTGGTTTTAGGTGAGATCATGCGTTGAGACCCGCCGTAGAATGCGCACCAACATGCCAATGCTCGGATGTCCTAGCTCTCTGCATCACGGGTGGATCACCCAATTTTAAGACTCCCTGTTGGAAATTAACCATCATTTTAAAAGATGAAAGTGCACCTGGCATATAAATACCCTGAGTTCTGCTTTACAGGTTAACCCCAGCTAACAGAATCAGC